TGGGGGTCCCTGAGGGGTTCTGGGGGGTCCCTCCTCAGTGCTTGAAGCGGTACGTGATGGGCAGCAGCAGTTTGCTCTGCTTGAGTGCCTGCACCTTGCGCAGCGTGTCCGGGTCCAGCGCCTGGAAGCAGCGCCGGGAGTAGTCGAGGAGCCTCTCCTTGGCAGGGTCGAACTCTCCCACCTCGCGCAGCTTCTCTGGGGCCACCAGGTGAAGCTCCGCGATCGGCGTCGTCAGCGCCACCGTGTTCCTGTCCACACGGTGGTGCCGGAACGCGCGGCTCATGGAGCGGAGACGCTGGAATGTCCTCAGGACACGCTGGTAGCGCCGCAGAACTCCTTCTGCATCGCGAACTGGGGCAGGGAGAGACATGGGGACATGAGGGGCACAGGGAGAGGGACTCAAGGACACAGCTGGAACGTCTGCAGCACCCGCTGGTACTGGCACGGAACTCCTTCTGCATCTCAGCCTGGGACATGGGGACATGAGGGACACAGGGTGTGTCCTCGTGGTGGTGTCAGAACACACGACACATGGACCAAAAGCACGGGAATGTCCTCAGAACTCACTGGTACCAACAGAGAACACCCTTAGCGTCATGAACTGGCACAAAGAAGGACATGGGGACATCAGGGACATGCAGACAGGGACAAAGGGACAGACACAAGGACACAGGGAACACATGGCTCATGTAGCAAAGGCACTGGAAGGTCCTCAGCACCTGTTGGTGCCCACAGAGAACACCTTCAGCATCATGAACTTGGACAGAGAACAGGGATAGAGATATGGGGAACAGATAACAGGGACACAGACACAGCACCACCGTGTTCCTGCCCACACAGCAGTGCCAGAACACATGGCTCATGGAGCAAAGGCACTGGGATGTCCTCAGAACTCACTGGTAATGGTGGAGAACACCCTCAGGATCAAGAACTGGGACAGAGAGACCTGGTGACATCAGGGACATGGTGACAGGCACATGGGGACATACAAGGACATAGGGAACGTGCAGCTCAGGGAGCAAAGGCACTGGAATGGCCTCAGGACTCACTGGTACTGACAGAGAACATCCTCAGCATCATAACTGCCAGGGGAGAGAGACACCAGTGACACAGGGACAGACACAGCTACTCAGGGCCATGGGCACATGCAGCTCATGGAGTGCAAGCACTGAAATGTCCAGAGCACCCACTGGTAACTATGGGACACCCTCAGCATCATAAACTGAGATAGAGAAAGACATGGGCATCTCAGGGATAGGGACAGACACAGGGAAAACTCAGCTCATGGAGCAAAGGTGTTGGAATGTCCTGGTAACATCTCTCTGTGTCCCTCACTGACACAGAGAGAGGGACAGACCACAGGGACACAGGGACACAAGGCATATACAGCTCATTGAGTGGAGGCACTGGAATGTCTGAAGCACACACTGGTACCACTGAAGAACTCCTTCAGCATCCCCAAACTGCCAGGGGGAGGGACACGGGGACACCAGGGACAGCAGCTGGTGCTGCAGCAACCCCTCAGCACCGAGGACTGTCACGGCATGGGGACATCAAGGACAGTGTCCCCAGGGGCGTCCCAGTGTCCAAAAGGAGTCCCAGAGGGTCCCAGTGGTGTCCTCAGGTGGTTTTCCCAGGTCCTGGAAGGCTCAGAGTGGGTCCTGAAGGTCCCAGTGTCCCTGAGAGCTCCCACCTGTCCCCAGAGAATCCCCTGGTGTCCCCCCAGCCCCAGTCTCTCACCCCTCTGCCTCTCGCAGG